TTAATTCGCCAGTAAATTACAATAACATACATATATAACAAGTTACAAGTTTACTAAACAGACGACTGGCAGGAGTTAGATACAGGACTAATGTCCCAGTTGCCATCCTACCCCTAAGTCAGATATACAGTATTGTGACAATAATCCGCCCACAAAAGCGGGTTTTGACCGGATAGCTAGCTTTCATGACTGAAATATTGACGCATTATCCTGTGTTAATAATATGCTGAGTAATGCTAATGTTTGTCGACCTCTGAGCACTGTTACAGCGCGCCACCAATATTGATTGAATAATAGATTACGGAAGGCTTTTCTCTTTCGATTTCAATTTCCGAAATGCCAAGTATTCCGTTTGTCATTTTCAGTATTTTTTTCATTTGCGAGAGTATGTTTATCTATAAATGGCGTAGGACGGATTTGTTTTATATATAAATGAAGAATCTGGACCTTTTGAAAGTAAATTTCATCTTGTGATTTCACGGTGTTTTGATTTGTGTAATCAAAGCCAGTCCAATATTTGCTTTGATAAAGCCCCTTTGAAAGGATGATGAAACCTATCATTTTTTTTTCCAACGTTCGTGCCTGCATTGCGACACATATAGTACTACAATGGCGTCATTGTTTGATGGTTTTTCTTGGAAGAAATTGCTCGTGTTGTTTTCAGGAAAAATATTTTGAGATACTTTCAGTATATTTGACTTTTTCTGTGGCTTTGTTTTCCCCTTATTTTTCAAAGCAAAAGCTGGGAAAATTGAAGGAATTTGAAAGGGAATTTCGTTATCTTTGTCTTCATATAAAGCTTCAGTGGGAAAAACCCATTCTTTGTTAATAGTTTATATAGCTCTAAATAACCATGTTTAGATCACATGTGAATTTCGGGAAGTACCAACGATACTAGGGCGATATTTTAAAAAATCATATCATAATTATTGACTATTGTCTAGGAAATTATCACGATATTATTATGAACTTTAATATTAACACGGATTCACATCTTCACAACATAATAATTAATCGATAATATCGCGATAAATGGAATTAAAACAACGTTTCAATTTTGGATAATATACAGTACAAACATATTAACATAATTAAGCTATAATTAGTAACTAATCTGGTATATCAGTTTATATCTCAATACAAGTAACAAATTGAAGTAAATATCCAACTAAAACAAGTAAAAAACCTTGTTTCAATTCATCATTTCGTAAACCTTAGCTGCTTATACTGCGACAGTGGCAAAGCGGCAAAATTTATATGTTCGCGAGCACTGCTTTTGAGTTTTGGATTTAATAAAAGCGATGCATACATGCCAAACAATATCACAATAGTCATTGACCATGACGTTAATTATGACATATCGTCGCTCGTGTTTCTCTACCTTCGGTACGATAATCATGAGTAAAAATGTCACGATTATATCGAAATATCGCTAGCTAGTTTTGAGCGTAAATGCCACGCCTGGAAAGTATATTTGATCAATTAAAAATTCCGAGGCGTCCCATGATTAGGTCACCTGCTATTGGTACTGTATTGTCCGGAAACCCCGAGCTGATCACAAGATTGAAGAACAGTACCAAGCCTCAAAAATGTTTCATTTATGTTACATTCCGATATGTCCCATGATTATGTCACATGGTGTTAAGGGAAGTACCTTTATGAGGAAATAGGAATTCCCTTGAAATCACGTTTCGCGCGTGGCTATTTAAGCCGGCCGTTACGCGCCACTCCACCACACTCTACCATTCAGCCACAGAGATTCAGTTCAAAGATGAGTTTTACAGAAGAAGGATCATTTTACGAGGAAACGCACGAAGCAAGTTCTAAGGAGGAAAAATTGATGGAAGCTTCGTTTGATGATGAAAGATATATCGTTCGAAGAATATCGTTCGAAGAATCGTTTGAAACGTTCGGAGCAATTCCGAGCGTGGAAGAGCCGATCGAAGCATCGTTCTTTGAAGGAAATTTTGCCAATCCAAAGGAGAATAAAAGTAAACTGGAAAGACTACTCAACGAGGTGTCGATAAATTTCCGACCTTTCGTGGTGATAGGAGAAATTAAAGAGGGATTCGCAAAAAAGCTTAATCAGCAAGGTATCCCTGTGAAGGAATTTGATGACTTTAATCTTGGTATAATGGGAGTTCTTAACGGTCTCGATAAAGGTGATTATATTATTGTTTTGTGTTGTGGGTCACCACGTTTATTTATGTAGTAAAGCTTCTGTTCGACCAACAAACACAGTTCAGTTTAATCGAGTCCCCACTCGACAATCTGGCGTCCGTGTTGACAAGACGTTGCTTGCTATAGTTTCCTGTAGTATCAGACTAAACCGTCAAACTGACTCAAATAAGGATGTGAGTTAATGACTCTCGGCTAGCATTTTACCACCAACGCTCATTGACTCTCATGCACACTCTCATCAATTTCGAACCAGTTCATATTTTGACGAGAGTTGACGAGAACTGGTAATATCCGGTAATATCCAGTCAACTCTTGTTCTCGTTTGACCGTGGTATAAGTATCACACACGACCCCATCGTGTTTAAATAAATATTATGAATGAATGAATTCAAATGCCCCCCTCATTATCACTTTGAATTGTGTTGTGTTTTGCTTTTCAACCACTCACATCATAAGTTTACATCATGATGACACTATTGTTTTTTTTTATATTTCTTGAAATAAAGGATTTGCTATACTTAAAGTGATGTATTTTAATTCAAATTATATAGGTGACCCAGTTGGGAAGTTCCTTCGCCAAGCGTATATTGGATGCTTTCAATGTTCCTTGTGTCTGCAGAGCGATCGCGAGCTCAAAACGACAAGCGAGTTGTTGGGACACCATCTATCAAACGCAATGAGCGTACTCAGATATGTGCTATCAAAACAAGGCATCTCGATACCCGATGGCAGTTCGGAGAAAATGGATTATGATGAATGCAAATTGAATCATCTGACTCATCTTACAGACTCGTACTTGCAGCAGACATGCAGGTCAAAAGAAGAATGCAAGTTTTTGCGAAGACACTCGCGGTTAATTAAGGATTTCGAAGTCGTCAGTGAGATAGACTTTGCTTTGAAGCATCTTCGAGATGAATTTGAAGAGCTTCGAAGGCACCCAAATGAAGTTAGCCGTCGCTTGAATAACTTTACGCTGTTTAGCGAATTGGAGGAGACGACTGATTTGTCCTCGCGCTGCTGTTAGTTGAAGTGGGACGTAAAGGACTCTGTATATATATTGTATAAAATCTGAAATGTAGGTTTTCATTGTAGGTCGCTATAAAGCTCGAGAAATTTCAGGATTACACTACTTGAAAAGTTTAACAAGAAATCTTTAACCACAAAAATACAGTATTATAGTTGCATCACATCATACGAATATTTTCAACACATCCGCATCAAATCTATTTCAGAACTATATTCTCTGAAGATGAAACTATATTCAGCTCGTACTTTTAAACTACCAGAATTTATATTAATAATAACTCTAAGATTAAAGTATAATATAGACAGATCTAACCAAAAGTCCTTATAATATATATAGCCAATCTTTAGACTTTATTAATTATAATCCCTTCTATATGTATATGTATATATCAAATTCTTTAATTCTTCAACACTGTAATATATTTGTATATATTGTAAGATATTGTATCACAATAATCATTCATGAACATTAAGCCTACGAAGGTATATGTTAATAAAATACTATTTGACAAATACTTAATATACTTATCAAGTGTATGTTGCCCTCTTTACTGAAATATTGCTATTCGTCTGAAAACCGTGGTTTACAGATCACCAAGCCCCAAAGATTCGGCTGCTTTTTATTGATACAAATGGACAATTGCAACATGACATGCTTTAGAAGAATAAGATGGTATCTATTCCCTTAGATTCCTTTTCTTAGAAATGGGGCAAAGCGGAAATACAGTCTAGATGGGCAAGAAATTCAAATATTTGATTAATAGATAGATAGATAGATAGATGGATGGATGGATGGATGGATGGATGGATGGATGGATGGATGGATGGATGGATGGATGGATGGATGGATGGATGGATGGATGGATGGATGGATGGATGATTTATTCATAATTTCTTTGCAACCACAAGATTGAATTACGAAATTATTTACATTAAATTTAATGGGCAATTCCAGCTGTAGACTAAATTTTGATCTAGGCAAGAAGAACAAAATCCATCACCACACTCCACAGCTAGAAACTCAAAGAGCATGTTAAAATTAGTAAAATTGCGAAGTTTGTTTGCGAAATGTTGTAAAATGAGTAAAATATAGCCCGTGAATTATATATTGCGCACGGGAATTTGCACCACTTTCGGCCGAAATGTGGTGCATTTTCCCGTGCGTATAATACAAATTTTAACACAAAATTTGCAAATTTCGCAGCTAGGGCTATATATTTCCTCATTTTACAACATTTCGCGGCCCAATTTTGCAATTTTACTAATTTTAACATGCTTTTTCTAGCTGTGGTGATGGATTTTGTTCTTCTTGCCTAGATCAAAATTTAGTCTATATAGCTGGAATTGCCTATTAAAGATTTTATGCACTAAAATTTAAAAAGACTAAAACAGCATTACACCTTAAGTGCATTAAAGGTTATAAAACTATTACAAAATCGTGCGGGAAGCAGATGGTAAGTTCATTCTTTTTATTTTCGGTTATTTTCTTGATTAAGCTGTCCCCCATGGCTTAATCTAACTAGATCATGCAGACTCGTGTAGCACTTCATTGAATGGGCGGAAAGGAAAAAATTAATCCGCATGGCACGCTTTTGAACACTTGCTTTTAGAGTCATGCAAATCAAACAAACAAAATTCCTAGTAAAACAAAATATAATTAAAAGAAATAGAAGAAGCAAGGTGTTTGGCTGTTTTAAAGCGAAGTGACACGAAACACTTTTCAACGACGATTTGCAACACAACGATGGACTGCCGAAACCAATCAAATTCCGTGTAAATTATTCCGTGTGGCCTGTTGTCTAAGATCGGCTTTATATTCACAAACACAAAAATACAAATGTCCATTCTTTCACGATTATCGGGGTGACATTTTGCGACAGCATATTTATCTAATGGTATAGAACGGATTTGTTTCATATACCGGTATATATAATGAAGAATCTGAATTATCTTTTGGAAGTAAATCTTGTGATTTTTCACGGTGATTTGATTTGTATTCAAAGCCAGTCCAATATTGGCTTTGAAAAGCCCCTTTGAAAAGATGATGAAATCTAACAAATGCAGTACTACAATGACGTCATCGTTTGATCTTGGATGTTTTTTCTTGGAAGTATTGATCTTGTTGTTTTCAGGAAAGATATTTTGAAAGAACACTTTCTGTATATTTGTCCTAGTTTTCGGGGCTTCATTTTCCCCTTATCTTTCAAAGCAAAAGCTGAGAAAAATTGAAGGAATTCGAAAGGGAATTTTGTTGTCTTTGTCTTCGTATAAAGCTTCTGGGAGAAACCCATGCATTCTTTGTTAGTTTACATAGCTCTAATTAACCATGTTCAAATCACATATATGAATTTCGGGAAGTACCAACGATACTAGGGCGATATTTTTAAAAAATCATATCATGATTATTGACTATTGTCTTGGAAATTATCACGATATTATTTTGAACTTTAATATTAACACGGATTCACATCTTCACAACATAATAATTAATCGATAATATCGTGATAAATGCAATAACAACAATGTTTCAATTCTGGATAATATACAGTACAAACATATTAACATAACAATTATATAAGCTATAATTAGAAACTAATCTGATATATCAGTTTATATCTCAATACAAGTAACAAATTGAAGTGAATATCCAACTAAAACAAGTAAAAACCTTGTTTCAATTCATTTCGTAAACCTTAGCTGGTCACTGCGACAGTGGCAAAGCGCGGCTTTATATGTTCGAGCACTGTTTCGGATTTTGTAAAAGCGATGTCCACATGCCAAACAATATCACAATAGTCATTATCCATAACGTTATAAATTACGACATATCGGCGCTCGTATTTCTATTATACCTTCGGTACGATAATCATGAGTGAAAATATCACGATAATATCCATATATCGAAATATCACTGCTAGCTACTTTGGTCAAAAGTTTTGAGCGCAAATGCCACGCCTGGAAAGTATATTTGATCAATGAAAATTTCCTAAGCGTCCCATGATTCAGTCACCTGTTGTTGGTACTGTATTGTCCGGAAACCGAGCTGGTCACAAGATTGAAAAACAGTACCAAGCCTCAAAAATATTTCATTTATGTTACATTCCAACATATCTCATGATTAGGTCACATGCTGGAAAGGGGAAGTCCCTTGATATTTTATACGTGGCTATTTAAGCCCGTTGCACGCCACTCTACCATTCAGTTTAAAGATGAGTTTCGCAGAAGAAGGATCGTTTTATGAGGAAACGCACGAAGCAAGTTCTAAGGAGGAAAAATTTATGGAAGCTACGTTTGATGATAAAAGATATGTCGTTCGAAGAATGTCATTCGAAGAATCATTTGAAACGTTTGGAGCAATTTCGAGCGTCGAAGAGCCGATCGAAGCATCGTTCTTTGAAGAACATTTTGCCAGTCCAAAGGAGAATAGAAGTAAACTGGAAAGACTACTCAACGAGGTGTCGAGAAATTTCCAACCTTTCGTGGTGATAGGAGAAATTAAAGAGAGATTCGCAAAAAAGCTTAATCAGCAAGGTATCCCTGTGAAGGAATTTGATGACTTTAATCTTGGTATAATGGGAGTTCTTAACGGTCTCGATAAAGGTGATTATATTGTTGTTTTGTGTTGTGGGTCACCACGTTTATGTATGTAGTAAAGCTTCTATATTCGACTGACAAACACAGTTCAGTTTAATCGAGTCCCCACTCGACAATCTGGCGCCCGTGTTGACAAAAAGTCGCTTGCTATAGTTTCCTATAGTATCAAACTAAACCGTCAAACGACTCAAACAAGGATGTGAGTCAATGACTCTCAGCTAGCATTTTACCACCAACGCTCATTGACTCTTATGCACACTCTCATCAATTTCAAACCAGTTCATATTTTGATGACAATTGACGAGAACTGGTAATATCCGGTAATATCCAGTCAACTCTTGTTCTCGTTTGACCGTGGTATAAGTATCACACACGACCCCATCGTGTTTAAATAAATATTATGAATGAATGAATTCAAATGCCCTCTCATTATCACTTTGAATTGTGTTGTGTTTTGCTTTTCAACCACTCGCATCATAAGTTTACACGATGATGACACTATTGTTTTTTTTATATTCTTGAAATAAAGGATTTCCTGATAATTAAAGTGATGTATTTTAATTCAAATTATATAGGTGACCCAGTTGGGAAGTTCCTTCGCCAAGCGTATATTGGATGCTTTCAATGTTCCTTGTGTCTGCAGAGCGATCGCGAGCTCAAAACGACAAGCGAGTTGTTGGGACACCATCTATCAAACGCAATGAGCGTACTCAGATATGTGCTATCAAAACAAGGCATCTCGATACCCGATAGCAGTTCGGAGAAAATGGATTATGATGAATGCAAATTGAATCATCTGACTCATCTTACAGACTCGTACTTGCAGCAGACATGCAAGTCAAAGCTGGAAAAGTGCGACTACGAGTTTTTGCGAAGACACTTACAGTTAATTAAGGATTTCGAAGTCGTCAGTGAGATAGACTTCGCTTTGAGGCATCTTCGAGATGAATTTGAAGAGCTTCGAAGGCACCCAAATGAAGTTAGCCGTCGCTTGAATAACTTTATGCTGTTTAGCGAATTGGAGGAGACTACTGATTTGTCCACGTGCTGCTGTTAGTTGAAGTGGTACGTAAAGGACTCTGTATATATATTGTATCAAATCTTAAATGAGGTTTTCAATGTAGGTCGCTATAAAACTTGAGAAATTTCAGTGGATTACACTAGCCTACCTGAATAGTTTAACAAGAAATCTTTAAATATTTAACCACATCACATCATGCGAACATTTTCAACACATTAAATCTATTTCAGAACTGAGAACTATATTTTCTCAAGATGAAACTATACTCATCTCGTACTATACTGCCAGAATTTATATTTAATAACTCTATATAACGTAGACAGATCTAATCAAAAGTCCTTATAACATATAGCCGCTAATCTTGATAATCTTTATTAATATAATCTCTTCTATATGTATGTATATATCAAATTCTTTAATTCTTAAACACTGTAATATATTCTGTCTTGTAAGATATTCTATCACAAAAATCATTCATGAACATTAAGCCTGTACGAAGATGTATATATTAATAAAATACTATTTGACAAATACATAATATACTTATCAAGTGTATGTTGTCCTCTTTACTGAAATATTGCTATATTCGTCTGAAACCCGCCGTCTACAAATCACCACTAGCCCCAAAGATTCGGCTGCTTTTTATTGATACAAATGGACAATTGCAACATGACATGCTTTAGAACAATATGATGGTATCTATCAGTCGCTTGATTCCTTTTCGTGGAATTCGAAGATGGGGCAAAGCTATTAGAGCTATATTAATTCCTCGTAATAAAACGGAAATACATGCATGGTCTATAGAGATCGGCAAGAAATTCAAATATTTGATTGCTTTTATAGTCATGCAAATCAAACAAACAAAATTCCTAGTAAAACGCAATGGAATTAAAAGAAATAGAAGAAGCAAGGTGTTTGGCTGTTTAAAAAGCGAAGTTGCACGGAACACTTTTCAACGACGATTCGCAACACAACTGACGAGCTGCCGAAAGCAATAAAATTTCCGTGCCGACTTTATTTGCATTGAGAATCTGTCCTTGAAAATCGTTCCGTTTAGCCTGTTGTGTAGCATCGCCTTTTTATTCACATACATGAAAATACAAATGTCCATATTTTCCCTACCGCCTGGCTTTCACAAAAATGAATTCGTTTAATTAAAACAAAGATTGCTTGATTCGACAAGATGAAGTACTAGTTAGATTTTAATTATCGTTTAGTAAGCGTTTTTTTGAGTCGTTGGTCGTATTAACGAGGTGGTCGTATTGTACTTCTCAAATTGTCTGTTGGAATAGAATTTTTGTATAACTCCAAGTTTTACATACCAACAAATATTTCATCATGATGTCATTTCTAATTTTGTCCACCCTAGAAACTCCACGCGAGGCCCACGCAAAGGTCACGCAGCTGTGGATATGCAGCAACACGTATATAGAACGGCATGGTGGAAAGGGCGGAGTACGGAGTCTGTCCAAAAATTGGTTATTTTGCCTAAAGATTCGATTTTAACGAGACTCCGCGTTTTACTCCGCAGTCCGCGGACTCCGTTCTCCGTACTCCGCACTCCGTCTTTTCCACCGTGCCTATACTAGACAAAATTAGAAATGACATGCATCATCATAAAATATTTGTTGGTAAACTTAGAGTTAAAAACTCCATTTTCAGCCGACAATTTGAAAAAGATATAACTGACAAATTCCTAAAAAATGCATTTGAAAATCCAAGATATAGATCATATAGTTATTATAGGTCAAACCCGAGATATGGAATATGGACTTTATTTTATAGGGAATTTCCCTTAGAAGGGGACTACCCGCCAAATTTAAAGCAGCAAAAAAGTATTATTTAATAGGGCGCCCGCGAAGACGCTCACTTCATTTTCAAAAAGACAACATGGAAGGTCTGATACTGAGATCGTTCGAAGAATCGCATTTTTATCAAGCAAACAACACTGCTAGTGCTGATCAACTCGATGAAATCTCAATGAGTTTTAGAGCTAATTTTGACTCGATCAAAGGGATTAAGGAAAGATTTGTTGAGAAATTGAAGAATGACGGCTTAGAAGAACGAGAATTTGTTGATTTCAGACTCGGGACGATGAAGAAATTGAACAACGTTATAGCGTTGGTTTGCCCATTGACGAGTTTTTACGCGAAGCATATGTAGGCCTCCTCCAAACATTGCTTTGTCTAGAGAGCGATAGGAAGCTTTCTGATACAAGCAAACGGTTGCTACCACAAATTTCAAATGCTCTAAGCGTTATTCGACATACTTTGAAAGAACAAGAGAGCCAGATACCGAATCATAAATCAGAAGCAAGTCGTTACAGAAAGAATACATTGGATGGTTTGTCTAGTCTCACCGATATTTACTTGAGAAGTAAGCCAGATTACGAAGTGCTCAAGTCTTATGGCAATTTTATCAAAGATTTTCAGATTGTCAGCGAGATTACTGAAAGTTTAGAAGATTTACAAGATAAATTTGAGGTGTTGAGACGAAAGCCCAAGGAAAGCCAAGGGATCGAAAGGCCTATCAATTTCAACGACCACAATTTGCCGCCGTTTGCTGAGATGGAACAGCGAGTTGATTTATCAGGATTTATTTGAATAATGATGACTGATGCAAAAATACACTCACAGAGAAGACTGTTTTAATAGTTTATTAGATATTATATGCATTCACACATTATTAAATTCATTAAATTCATTATTTATCTATTTATGAACATAAAATACGAGTATATGTAGTTGTTTATCATCGTCAATTATAAAGTTCGTACTTATATATTTATCTATGTACACTAAAACACACAATGTAATTGTGATGTTTGTAT